CTAGGCGCCCCTTTCTGGGCGGTTTTATTTTATTTTATTTTATTATTTTTTTAATGTTTTATTTATTTCTAGGAGAGAGAGAGAGAGAGAGAGAGAGAGAGAGCGTGAGCAGGGGAGGGTCAGAGAGAGAGGGAGTCACAGACTTAAACAGGCTCCAGGCTCTGAGCTGGCAGTCAGCACAGAGCCTGAGGCGGTGCTCGAACCCACGAACCGTGAGATCATGACCTAAGCGAAAGTCGGACGCTTAACCGACTAAGCCACCCAGGCGCCCCCGGGGCGGTTTTAAAACAGGGGAGATCTCAACCAAGTCCCAGCCCTCATTACGGCACAAATCCGACTCTGCGTGGGGCTACAAACCACTGCTTTAATAAAACACAGGACGGCTTGGGACCGTTGCTGGGTTTTAAACCGTACAACACGGATCAGAGAACCACGGCGTGCTCAAGAGAAACAGCCGGGGGCTCTGAGCAGAAATTCATTTCCTGTAAGAAGAGGCTGTGGCTACAGGCCTCAGAGAAACCCCCTCACACTCTGGAAGGTGTCGCCCTCTTTGTCACCGTCCACAAGCCACTGACCCCTTTTCCGAGTCGGTGTTGGCTTTGCTGCGCTGTCTCATGGCATCTAGACGGTGCTTTCATGCTCCTGCAGGTGAAAGATGTGAGCACTTTCCGAGCTTCCTATTTCCCTCCAAGGAGGGCTGCTCTGCAAAGGCCTGTGGCTGCTGAGCTGTCCCCAGGCGCTCGTGAGGCTGGCCTGGGACAGGGCGGGGGTGTGCCCAGGCCTGAGGCCCTGTCCCCTGCTCCAGGGGCCTCTGATAGGCAAAGGCGAGCTCCGGGGGCTGTGAGGACCGGGGATCCGGAACATGTGATCTGAGAGTTCGCACCTGTCACTCCACAGGCCCGCCACCCCCGGGAAGTCCCGTTTCTCGCGTGTAAACCGGGGACAGGACACTGCTGTGCTCAGTGTGGCGGAGGGACTGAGAAGGACGTTGTCAGGCTCCCCATCACGCGCAGGGAGCGCCCGGACCACGGACACGGCCCTCCTGCAGAGCCCGCCATCCGTCCGTCCGTGTCCTTCTAGAAGACACATCTGCCTGGGGGAGGGGATTAGTGAGGCCTCTGAACAGGTTTTATCGGAGTCCTGAAAATACGTGTCTGATCCCAGAACGGGTGTCACACGAACATAAACTCCTGGGCTGAGGGGTTCAGAGGACTTTCGCTTGTTTAAAATAACCTCTGGGAACAGAGTAGGGGCTCCTAACTGCCCACCTCCTGAGGGCAAGGGTGTCATGGAGCGGAGTCCCCAACATCGGCCACCACACATGGACTCCCGGTGCGAGCAGGTGGTGTGTGTGTGTGTCTGAGTGTGTGTATCTGGGTGTGTGTCTGTGTGTGCACATGTGTGTATATCTGGGTGTGTGTCTGGGTGTGTGTGTGTGGGTCTGCATCTGTGTGTGTGTCTGCGAGTGTCTGGGTGTGTGTGTATCCGCGCGTGTGTGTGTGTGTGTGTGTGTGTGTGTTGGGTGGCCATGAATCAGGCCCTCAGGCCCTGAGAAAGTCTCTCCGGCCCCTGCCCTCCTCTCCCCTCCTCCCCACACTTTTCCCCTTTGTTATTTGCCTTTCAGTATATTTTTTATATTCATCTCTACCATAACACTAAGCATGCAACGTGGTTAATCACTTACTATGAAAAAAACCTTATTTTCCTTCTTTTGTTTTGGAAAATGTTAACCCCTTCACTCTCAGAGAAAGTGAATTACTTAAAAGGGAATCAAAATCCCACGGAGTTTTGTAACATGAGCAAGTCTGTCTGACACTTGTGTGGAAGGCACAGGACGTACAGAAACCACCACAAGTTTTCCTTCGTAATTAAAAATTTGTTTATGTTTGTTTATTTTTGAGAGAGAGAGAGAGAGAGATCATGTATGAGTCAGGAAGGGGCAGAGAAGGGGACAGAGGCTCCGTAGCGGGCTCTGAGCTGTCAGCGCAGTGAGTCCAATGCGGAGCTCAAACCCCGGAACCCAGAGGTCATGATCTGAGCCTAAGTAGGACGCTTATCGGCCTGAGCCACCCAGGCACCCTTACGGCCGCCGTGATTTTAATGAAGAAAACCAGAGAGGACTCACTCTGCCCAAAGTCAGGGTGACTCTCCGGCTACAGTGATCCAGAGAGTGCGGTGTGGTCCTGGTGGATGAGGCAGAACCTCAACCCGGAAACGACACGCACAGATGTGCAGAGATGACTTCTGACAAAGGAGGAAAGCGGCGTGGGGGAGGAGTGACCCTCTGTGTGACAGCCGCCTGAGAACAAGGGGTACCTTCCCCAGCCAGGACCAACCACAAGCCAAAACAGAAAGCCTTCAACCTGCACTTGAGGCTACAGAGAAATTAACTGAGTGGACAGATGTCAGTGTCACGTGGGAAACTACAGTACAGGGTGGGGACTGGAGAGAAAGGTCTCCAGGACCTGAGGCTACGCAGACGGTTCGCACCCTCCTCCCCCGTCGCCACCCAGAGAAGGAAAAATTAAACTGATCTCATTAAATGAACAACTGTGTCTCCACAGAACCCCCGGTGCAGAAGATGAAAGACGAACACGAGAAAACGACGGCAAACCGCCGGGACCAGAGTCTAGAACACATAAAGAGTGATCAAGACCAAACACCCAGTTAGAAATGAGCAGGCTGTTCACTGGCGGGACACAGACGGCAGTCTCACTCGTGAAAACCCCCAGCGTCGCTCTCCAGGAGGAAATGCACATTAAACTCACTGCGTCATGTTAGAACAGCTAAAAGAAAAAGCAGCGACGGTGCCGAATCCCGCCCAGGTTGTGCGAACCCTGGGCCACTCCTCCCTTGCTGGTGGGAACGCAAAACGCTATTCTAGACAAGAGTGTGGCTGTTTTTAAAAATAAAATTAAGCATTTGCTTACCATGTGACTCAGCAATTGAACTCTCGGGCATTTATCCCCAGGAAATGAGAACGATGTTCACACGACAACCTGTCCATGGATTTCCAAAGAAGTTTTATTCTCAGTAGCCCCAAGCTGGAAATGATCCAGGTGCCTTTCAGACAGCGAGTGGTTAAAACCAAACCATTCAGAGTGTCCATCCATATGATGAAACACCGGGCAGCACCAAGAAAGCAAGAGCAGCAGATACATAATCTGCTGGGACAGATCCGAAGAGAACCGTGCTTAGTGGAAAAAAGCCAATCGAGGAAAGTTTGCATATTGTATGACCCCATTTCTACAGCATTCTCGAAATGATGAAATTGTAGAAAATGGAGACCGGGACTCGGCGTGCCAGGGGCTGGGGTGGGGGAGGGTGTACGTTGACTGTGGCTGTAAGGACAGGCTGTGGAAACCTGAGATGGGGCTGCCTTAGCGACTGTTGGCGACCATGTGATTCAAGGAACATTTACAAGTTCAGGTGGAAGAGAAAATCACAAGGAAGCCTGGGGTCTAGTTTTCTGCACAGAGTCATTGCCGTCACCGGCCAAGCAGCAAGAAAGACCCAAGGTTCAAAACCACCACAGAGGAATTCAGTGGCAAGTTAGAGAGCAAGTAACTTTTCCTAAACTTTCTTATCTTGGGGCAGAGGTGTGATACTCGAGAAAGATTTTCACAGTGGATTTGAACCGAGTAGCTTGGTTTGACCCCAGGTTAATAAGAGTAGTCATTTCAGAACAGTTACATCCTTGAGAGTTACTGCTAAGCGATATTGTACAGTAATTTGTAACTGGTCTCCTAACCTTCTGGTGTTTGTTTATTTCGCTTAAAAAAAAAAAAAAGGAAACTTCTAATGGGCACTTTTATTTGCGTAGTAGAAAACACATCAGGTTGCCCGCCTCCATGCAGGCCACCTGGCCTGCCCCTTGAGGGCTGCTCTGCCCCAGGCTTCGCAGCTCCGGACACCAGGCAGTGAAGTCCCTCACCTGCTCCCTGACTTGAAGGCCGTGGTCTGGAAAGTGTCTCCCTGACCTTGGCCGTTAAAATCTTCTCAGATAACCAGAGGTGTTAGACAGGCTGCTCCCTACACTTCCCTTCCAGCGCGGGGTGTCCCTGGCTGGATGCGCTGGGGCCCCGGGGCCCCTTACACCCCTCTGCACGCATGCCAGCTACCTCACAGCGGGGCACGGACACATGTTGCTGATTTTCACGTTGCCGCAACTGGAAAACAGGAACCAGATCGCGCTATTTCCTGCCAGAGTCTTACCGAGGTCCCCCCACAGAAAAAAAAACCCCAAAACCAACTAGAACCCCCACTCCGCCTTCCGATACAGGGGCGACAGTAGATCCTGAAAGAAACGAGGCGCTGCCACCAGCATCCCACAGGACCCAGGGCCACCTGGGCACCAGCGCAGTGGGAGCAGAGCGCACACCCTGGGGTCACCGCCGCCCCCCCCCCCCCGCGTCGGGCCCAGGAGGGGCGCGGCCGCCGGGTCACAGGCGCAGGTGGGCGCAGGTGGGCGCGGGTGGGCGCCGGTGGGCGCGGGCCGCGGCAGGTGGCCCCTTCGGCGGCCAAGGCGGCTCAGATGGGCCCTGGTGGCCACAGGTGACGCGTCCCCGGGGCTGGGACAGGCCCGAGAAAGCGGAAGCCAGGCGTCTCCGGTCCCCGCCCCCGCGATCAAAGGGAAACTCGCTCCGTCTGGGGGGGGGGCGTCCGCGGGGCTCGGCGCGGCGATCAGACACGGACCCCCAGCGCCCGTCCCCACGCGAGCCCCCTCTTTTGACCTCCGTCACCTCCCACCCCGAAACCCCACCCCCACCGCCAACCCCAGGCCGCCCCCCAGCGACCACACCTGCAAACCCGTCGGGTGCCCGCGCCCGCAGCCATAGACCCGCGTCCACACCCGCGCCCACCTACCAGAAGGGAGACCTCGGGCGGCCTCCTGCGGGCCACCTGCGCCGCTGCCCCCGAGAACCCCTCGTCTCGGGTCCCCGGTCCCCGCGGTCCCCGCTCCGGGCCCCTCCACCCCCCGCCCCGCCGCGATCACCCACCGCGCGCTCGCCGCTCGGAGGCCCAGGGGTGCCGCGGGGTCCACGCCGCCCCTCCGCTGCCCTGGTCCCACGCGGTGGCGGCCGGGTCTCGGAGCTGCCGGCGCCGCCTTCCGGGGAGGGAGACGCGGGCCGCCAGGGCCGCAGGCTCGTCCTCGCTGGCGCGCCGCGGAGACTGACGGCGGCGGCTCCGGGGCCCGGAGCGCACCCCGCCCCCCGCCCCCGCCGCCCGGCTTCCTGCGAACCAGGTAAACCCGCCCCGAGCGGCGCCCGCCCACCTGCCGCCCCGCCCCGCGCCGCCCAGACCACCTCGGGGCGCCGCCTGGCCGCGCGGGGACCCGGGCGCAGAGTCGGGGCGGCGGGGCCCGGCCGGCTGGGGCCGCCTCCGAACCGCTTCTCTGGGAGCCCTTCCCGGGCTAAGCCTCGTAACACCCCCTCCCCCGCCGTCGCCGGAGGCACCCGAGATAACGTCTCCCCGCCCCATTGCTCAGCGGGGCCACTGAGGCGCAAAGCGCGGCCGCGGGCCGAATCCGCCCGAATCCGCCCCCACCCGCGGGTGCTCGGCAGGTCATTCGCTTTGCCCGCGCCCGGGGCGGCACCGAACCGGGGCTCCGCCGGGCGCGTTTCCGCAGAGACCCGAACACCCCGAGCGGGCGGGGCGCCCCGGCCTGCACCCCGCGCCTGGGCCGCGGTCGGTGCCGCCCCCGGGCCCGAAGGGCGCCTGCCTTTCGCCCACGAGTCACCTGGACGCAGAGATTCGATGGGCAGACGGGCTTCCCCTCGCCCCCCCCGCCCCCGGCGGGAAGTCAGGGGTGCGGGGAGAGCGCCGGTGCCCCCCACCCCCCAACTCAGACGGGGCCAGGGGACCGCGTGGGACCTGCCGTACTTGTTAGGGGAAGGGGGTCTGGTGCGGGGCCGAGGGAGCCTCCGGGCCCGCGCGGTGGCCCCGCCGTCTGTCTCCCCGCAGCCGCCCCCGCCCCCGCCCGACGCTGCTGGTTCTAGAGACACACGTCGCGTCTGGTCCTGTCCGCAGGGGACAGGTGACGGAGGACAGGATGGTTCTGTTTGAAGTGCGGGGGGGGGGCGGGGGCGCAGACCCCTCATCTTCCAGTCTCCTGCCTTCGTGCTCCGGGTCAGAACCGGGTGAACCCTGAGGGCGCACCAGGCGGCTCCCAGGTCCCTGACTCGCCCCACCCCCACCCCCAAGCTTCTTAATGTTCAGACCAGGGCAGCCCAGAACCGGGGTTCCATTTGGGTGTCTGTTTGGGCATCACAAACAGCCCCTCCTCCCCTCCCTGGGGTGCTGCCCTGCAGACTTCAGTGAAGGGGGGAAGGGGGCGAGTGCCATCGGCCAGCGGCCTTCTTCCTCTTCCGGCTGCTTCTGCTGCTTTCCAGGGGTTTCTAGAAACTTCACAAATGCCAGCAGTGGTTTTCACAAATGTCCAGCTTGCCGGTTAAAGCGTCTTTTAAAGTATTTATGAAATTCCACTGTGTGTGTGTGTTTGGGGGGTACCGTGCCCCTAGATTCATACCCACGGGTCCTTGAAGGAAAACGTGTGTGAGGGAGAGAGGGACACTGTTCGGGTCAGCGACAGAGGGGCGCTTGGAAGGGCCACCCTCGGGCTCCCCGCGTCTGCATCTCGGGGAGTCACGCGTCACGTACAGGTGGCCACGCACCCTTAGCAACACACGGACGTTCCTCTCGCTGAATTAACCTGAAACTGGCCTTTTCACAAGGAAGGGATAAACGATCCCCCCTCGGCGCCTCTCTAATGTTTCTGAGAAGATGGCTTTGCAATCCCGGCCGAGCCGAGCAGGGTCAGGTAAGGAGGGCAGGCCCCCTCGGCACCTCATGCTGCTGCAGACTGTAGCGTGCTGTGCGTCGCACACTCAGGAATTTTCGTTGGGAGGAGCTAAGCTTCAGATGATCCCAGCCGGAGGAGGGAAGCTGACCCGAACGCTGCCCAGCAGACACGACTGCACGCACGTTGAGCTCTCTTTATTCTCCTGACGACAAACTTCACCTTTGTGGTTGTACGTTTGCCTTCACGAGGACGGGACCTCACCGGCCTCCCGGACTGTAATGAACAGCCCGCCCGCGACGTCCGCAAGGCCGGGAAGGTGGCTGCACCGGCGGAGGGGGCTTCCTGTGTCCCGTCAGGGGCGGGCACGCTCGGCTCAGGTCACAGACACCAGTAAGTGAGGGCGTGGGCTCCGGAAAGGGCAACGAAAACGAAACGAAACAGAGCATGTGAACAAGGAAACACTTGAGGGTTCTCGGCCACAAGCACACACACAACGCCCCACACCCCTCTCCCTACCGCGGACGCCCCTGCAGAGGCTCCGGGCACCAGGGCCAGGGCTCCCCGCTGTGCCGCGTGCACCAGGGAGCCCAGCGGCCGGACAGCACCCTCCACGCCGGCCTCGGGGCGCACAGCCAGGTGGGGAGGGAGGCGGGCGGGCAGGCCCCCCACCCCCAGCCGGGAGGCACATGGTGCTGCGGACCTGGAGTTTGTGGAGCTGCTACAGCAGAGAGAGCCCTCAGCAGGGGGAGGCAGCGAGGGGGCAGAGGGCAACCCCCCCCCCCCAGGGATGCAAGGTTTTCCGGAGCCAGGGAAGGGCTGAGGGCTAGGAAGCTCCAGGGGGGTGGTCCCCGGCTGCCTGGGGGGCTGGGTTAGCGGGGGAGACGAGAGCGGAGGGGCCTGGGGGGCCTGGGGGCGTGTAGCAGTTACAGGAATTAGCAGGTCCTGCCTGGGCCCCCCTGCGGCCAGCACTAAGGGCTTTCCTGGCCCCCGCCCGGTCCCCCGGCGGCCCCGGGACAGGACCTGTGTCCCGTGTCCCAAAGGGCCCGGGGGCCCAGCCAAAGCAGACACCCCCGTTAACAGTGTGCACAAGGGTGCAGGCAGGGAAGGCCCCTGACAAGAACTCGCTGTGTCAGAATCCCGTGGCGGGGCGGCGGCAGGCCACACGGGGCCCCTGCGAGGGCGGTGGAAGACGGCGGGGCGCGGCGGGAAAGGGCGCCGAGGAAGAGGAAGGGGTCTCACCGATACGCAGGCTTCTGCCGGGATGGCGCTGGGCCCGGGGCGCAGGTCTGAGGCAGAGGAGGAGAGATAAGGGTTCGGGGGGGCAGGCTGGCCGCTCAGATAACACACCCCGTCAGGAGCCGTTCGCCCGGAGCACGGCAGGCTGTTGGGGTATAAACAGCTTTAGCTCGTAGCCCCCTTCTCACGCCGTCCTGCCCGTGTGCCCGGCCCAGGGGCCTCCTCCGTAATGCAAGGGCCCTGGCGGGCGGCATGCATCTCTTTGGAGCAGCGGGGGGCTCACCCAACAGGACGATCACAGGTAGAATGACGGCCATTTAAGGACCTGATCCGTATAAAGAAGTGCCCGGGAGAAAAATAAGGCAGGGAGGGGGATAGCATGTGACGGGAACAAGCCCTGGGGCTGTCTCTGGGCTGTGGGTGGGGGAGCACATTCCAGGAAGCGGGGTGGCAAGTGCAAAGGTCCTGGGGTGGGCATGCCTGTGTGCTCACAGACTTGTGGGAGCCCACTGTGGCTGGAGGAGAGAGAAGGGGAGGGGACGGGCTAGGAAACGAGACGGGAGATTGGGCCTGGGGACTCAGCACAGAGCCTGAGCCCCTGGGGGACTGAGTGACCAGGGAGGGGTCAACAGCTCCCTTTCCGACGTGCCTGTTAGGTGTCTTAAGGGAGGCTGAGGGGGTGTGTTTAATGGGGCGGGAGACCTGGGTGGAAGCAGGAATGGATGGGGCAGGTGGGAGGAGGAACCCGCCAGCGATTCTCGGGAAGGTGGCCACGTGCGGCGGGGGCCCCGGGTTTAGCGGCATGGAGGTCTTGGGTCACCTTCGCCAGGACCGGGTGACGATCTGAGTGTGGGGGTGACAAGCTAAGGCCGTGCCCGCACACCCTCCTTTCCGGGAGGGGTGAGGACACAGGGGGGAGGGGAGCAGGGGAGTCAAGAGACACTTATCGTTTAGGACTTGAGAAAGGACAGCCTACTGGCACACTGACGGAACCTTCCGGAGAGACGGGCCCCTCGCTGCCTACACTCCTGTTTGAAAGTGCTTCTCAAGGACTGTAAAGTCCCTCCTGAACCCTCTTTTACACTCGTGGGGCCCAAAGCTCATAACATTTGGGAGCCCTTTTTAAGAAACAGAAGAACGGGGGTCAGCGGGGGCGGGAGGGCCTTGCCGCCCGGCGGCCCTGGGGTTGTGGGAGGTGAGCGACTGAGCTGCCGGCCGGTCTCTCCCCAGTCCTTGGACCAAGCGCTTAGCACGTCTGTGGCTTCATTTCTTCATAGTGCAGGTCGGATGAGGCTCGGGGGCGTTTGGCACTTTCGCGAATCCCCTTCGCCTTCCGGAAGCATTGCCACTTGCACGTCTGTTTCATGATAGGCTCAGCACCACCCATGACAAGGAGGTGATTCTGTGCTGGAAGCTTCCGGCTAAATAGTGCGAGATGAATGCAGCCCGGGAGTTTTGCTGAAACAAGGATTCTTCGTGACTTTTAATTATGCCACACCTGACACTAGTGTTCACGCTAACAGGGGTAGGAAAGAAACCTCGCCGTCGCTCAGCGGCTCTGCAGCTCTGCCTCTCGTCCCGGGGCCGAGCGTGTCTATGCATCCCTTCCCACAGGGGGTCGGTGCCACAAGCTGTTGGAACAAGCGCACGGGACCGTGCATTACATGGGGTCATCGGTGGTTTTATCTCTTCGGCAGCAGAAATACGATCAGGTTTGCAGAAAGGACAGCAGTCTATTCTGCGCCCGAGTTGAAGAAACATTAAATGTCCCTGGAGTCCCGTGTCCTCAGACGTGGCCTCGCTAATTACCCCGCGAGTCATCGGTGTGACAGAACTCCAAGTGTCCTGCCTCCTCCCGCCCGCGCGGGCATCCCGTCCACCCCGGAGGGACTCGACGGCCAGCCGGGGCCCAGGACGCATCCGACCCTGTGAGCTCACCCACATCTCCTTGGGTGACCAGTACCTGCTCTCTCTCTTCTCAGCCCTTCCTCCCAGCTCCATCCCCTCTCACCTGTCAGCCGCTGTGTCCCATGGGGCGGCTGGGGGCCCCTGGGCCCCGTGCTTTGCCCTGCCCGTGGAGGGCTGCGGTCGGTCCACTGGGACATTTGAAG